CTGCGCCCTCACGCACCAACATAACACCATCAAATCTCAAGATTCAAATATAAAATTTTTTAGTGAAATAAATAAGACTATCAAATCTTTTAATAAAAATAACGTTAAGTTCGTGTTATAAGATATTATTATAGTATTATTTTATTCTTGATTCAGTATAAAATGTCAAAAATGAGAATATAAATAAACTAACCAGATCAATTGATGATATTATTTAACATAATATTGAATTTTCGACTAAAAAAAAATAGCTAATATAAGTACAAGAGTATCATGTTCAATAACATATTAACATAACATATGCGCAAGACAAAAATATCATTTTAATTATTTCATAAAAATATTGAAAACTATACATAAATATATATGTAAATATATAATATATATAAATAGTGTATTCAATTTATGGGACAACAATCGTTTTCAGTGCAACTTACATCAACAATATAAATGTATGTTTAAAAAGCAGGTAAATCTTATGAAATCAACATTATTTAAAGTAAACTATTACCATTGATTATAAATACTAGTATTTATAATCAATGCTATTACAAAGCGTCCAGTCAGTTCATTATGGTGCCACATGGTATTTTCAGTCTCACATAACTCAATTAATATACATATATGAGAGTAGATATGATGAGGTAAGAAATTTTTCTTCACTCTCAAACATACTTCTAAACTAAAACAATTTATTTTTGAAAATATTTATTATTTTTAAATGTTTGAACTAGATTAAAATTATAATATTTCAAAATATAAGTTACAGTAATTTTCTACAAAAGTCTCAAGTACAACATTACTTTATAAATTAAATAAATTGTAATAAATTGTGTTATAAATTGTATAGAATTTTTAAATAAAATTTCAACATAAATTAAATTAAAATAACTAACCCAAACACAACATTATTATACTTTATTTGTTTCAATGTGGCTATTTGAGTGTATGCATTTTAAACAGGTTGATTATTTTAAAAAGCTGTATTTTTATTACTTACAAATCAATATTATTACAGTTTTTTCTACCAAATTTATTTATAAATATTGTTTTTATTTTTAGTAATTTGTATTATAAATGTGTAGGGAGACTGGGTACGATGGTAACATTTTTCACAAAATCATTTATTTCTTCCTAGATTTAAGCTATTTTTCTATAGTTACACTTTTAATCATTAAAATAACTTAATACTTTTATAAATAAGTAAGTATTGAAACTTAATTTTCACAATTTTCTAAATTGATGAAGGAAAAAAAAATGTTACAATTGTACCCCCAACAGGGACAATTATAACAGGGCCAGGTACAAAAGTAACACATTTAATTTTATAATTTTTAAATGGTATATTAAATCTTTTTAACCATTTTATACTAAATTAAGATCTGTGAATAAAAATATATTAACCTTTTAAATTGGATTTTGTTTCATTTTTAAAGTTTTAAATTATTAAAATAGTTACTTATTATAACTTTAAATAGACAATACAAAATGTTGATAATATAAAAAAATAACAGTAGGTACCTAACTAATAGAGATAAGAATATATTGAATTTTAATATAATTATAATTAAACAACATATTTAAATTAAAAATAATACAACATTTTTAAAAGGAAAAACATTAACTGTTGAAACTAGGCGTTTTTAACTATTTAAAATTATTAAAATACTAATTTAATAAAATTATAACATTTATAAAATAAACCAACATAGTAACTTTTTTGTAACAATAGTAAAAACAAAATAAATTAGGTAAACTATTTGACTTAATTTTTTAAAAATAATTTTTAGCTTAATAGTTTCATACTTAAAATATATTATCACAAATAGTTACTGATCATCACATTAAATGCTAAAGATTTTTATTCATCGTCAGCCTCACAATTATCACATATAAAATATGCAATAAAATCAGCTTTGGTACATGCTCCATGGAACCAGAATTTGATGATATATCTAGTTAAACTAACATGACAAATATCAAAATTTTTAGCTTCTGATCGAATTGACTTACTCTCTTTAATACAAATCTCTGCAGCTTGTTTCATGACTTCATTCAGTTCCACGATTGGAAGTTCTCTTTCTTACCCGTTGCATAAATATAATAAAACAATATAAATTAATATAAATTAATGTCTGATTAGAAACCTAATGAAATATTGTACAACGATTAATGTTACAATTGTCCCTCAATGAACTGTTACATTTGTACCCATTCAATATTTTTTTAGTAACTTAAATATTATGAAAAATACTTACTGATCTGTGTATTTTGAATAATATCTAGTGAAACTACACAAGTTTCTGACTAAGTTAACGTAAAGAACATAACGAAAAATATAATTTTACAATCACAAAAAAAAAAAAAATTAACTGATAATATTTACTATCAGTTATCAAAAACACATTTTTATTTTTATTTTCTATTATAGTAATGATATCAACTAATTGATTAGGAAACATTAATTATTATACAATAGGACATTTGGTGTATTTATTTGACGTTTTTGTATTGGTTGTGGAACAAGTTATAGCTAGTGTTACAATCGTACCCAGTCTCCTCTACACCTACTTATCTAAGGCTTTTCACAACATATACATAAGATGTATATTAGACATCTCAAATCTTCATTTTAGGTCCAATACTTTTTTTAATATTATATTAATATCTATATATTCGTATAAAGTCCCTAACTAGCCACGGTAGATATTTATGTAACAAATAGATTTTGTATTATGTATGTTGATACACGTCTATTAGAAATTCAGATTAAGTTCAAAACACACTCGGCAAAAAGATTTTATATAATTTAAACATAATAATTAGGGCCCGGAATTATATGCACTAAAAACATACGAAATATGCATGCATTTAAGCGATGGTTATCATTCAAATATGCACTCAAAATATGCGAAAATATGCAATCAAAAATGCATGTAATTTATTTATTAAATTTAATTGATTTTAAAATGTATACGATTCATTAAAAAATTAATATTCAACAAAAAATATACTTTAAAATATATCAACTGTATTTTATATATTTTATTGAACTGTATGAAACTGTATGTTGTATTGAAATTAAATTGTATTTTGAACACTCTCTCATCTAAACAAAAAGTCACAAACGAAAATCAATTTAAACAAATCAATCGGATTTTTATAATATTTTTAAAGTTACCCAAAGAGTTACTATCGTATTGGTACTTTTAGCAAACTTTATCTTATTTTATTATAACACAAAAATCAAATTATATAACTGCACGATTCACGGAATATGCAAATGTATATAATTCCGGGCCTTAATAATATTATATCATCCACATAGATTTTTATTTTTAATTATAGGAACCATGGCAACCAATCATCACCATAGTACTATTCTACCATTTCATAAAATCATAATCGCTTTAAATTTTAAATTGTATGGATATCAATATACTTACGAATTACGATTCATGATATCAATAATAACATATAAAATAAAAAGTATGGCCCCTTCATTCTAAAAGTATTTTCTTGAAAATATATTCCTTTGATTGAGAAAAATTTGATTATATATCTATATTAATATGTTATAAGACTATTAATTTCAATTAATATCTTATCTATATCCATTACAAATTGGAACTATTGGACGAATGTTGGTGAACTATATAATATAATAAATAAAATACATAATGGATATTATAATTCAATCATCTCTGATATCTAATGGATAGGTACCCAAGTAGGGATATCCATAAAGTAATAAGAAAACGGTCAATTGGATATCTATAAATCATATATATTATACATTCATTAGTTATATTTATGTTGTATGGGTTAAAATTATAATTATGAAATTATTCAAATATTTTTCAAGTAATCTTATGCATAATACATGCTAAATAGTATATACATAAATACCTACTGATAAATGTCAAAGCATATAACTAATTAATATTAGATATGACATCAAAAGCATGTCAATAAAATTGTATATTTTAAATATTTAAATGCATAATAAAATAAAATCTGTTATTTGTTTATGCATGGTGTATTACACTCTTATCCAGAGACGCCCGCAGAAATATAGCTCAGGGGTAAGAGGACAAAAAAAATTGTAAATAAATATAAACTATAGGAAAATTATGGGAAAATTTATCATTACATCTTTCATGCACTCATATTTTGTAACACTATCATTAATAATGTTCTAAAAATCTAAATCAATTGAAGTTAATATAAAATTACACTGTTATTTTAAATATGTATAAGAAAAATCATAATAAAGTTTAAGCAAAAAACAACTTAATTTTATCAAATTTTCATCATATTTAATTATTTTATTCAAAAAGTAATGACGCTCTCCTTTTATTAGAAGCAAAAATTTGTAATAATGTAACTGACATGAAAAATCTCAGGGGGCGTAATCTCCATTGGCCGCCCTCTCCGGGCGTCCCTACTCTTAACTTAAAATAAAAATACATTAAAAAAAATAATACACGGATAAAAATACAAAATATACTATAGACATGTTACTTACATTAGGTATAGAAAGAAATACAATAAATAATTAAAGAAAGTCTTATATCAAATTATTATAATATACTTATTAGCGAGGATTTTTTAAATTTTAGTAAATTAAAATACAATTAACAATTAGCAAATTAAATTAATGGTTTTATGTATGTATCTTAATACAAATATTAATACAACTCAGTTAAAAAATTGTTGGAAGGAAGAGATAAATAAAGTAATACAAATGATCTTAAGTTAAATCAATAAGCAAATTTATACACAGTTAATAATAATCCATATATGAATACAACATACTAATATATGTATAGCGGCAATGAGACACATACATCGACTAAATACCATACAAATATCTCCCTAATACCATAAAAGCAACTTGAAATGCACACTTTATAATTATATAATCGTAATCATGATAATAAATATTATACAGGAGACAGAGAATTAAAAAAAAAAGTATTATAAACATTATTAAATTTTTAATCACATTTCTCATGAATTATACTTTTACCTCTATCAGTATATTCACATTTATTAAGCCACAAATGTTGAAAAGATGGAGTTGAAGCTAAACATTTACCACCATACCATGCACCAAAACGCCTTTTAGTTAAATTATAAGGTGCAATAAATCTCATTTTAGTCTTATCGGGTACTCGAACTGTAACATCGTAAACTAATCTTTCCACGAAACTCTATAGAAACATCAACATTTTATTTTAATTAATGTTTAATTTTTAACTATTAAATAAATTTAAAAAATTACTCGTATTAATGAATTTCCACCAGTTATAATAATATGATTGAATAAATCAGATTTTATATTCGCATCACACTTTCCAATAGTAGAGACAACCATATCAGCTAAACCTAAAATTGACTTGTCCATATTAGGACTAGGATTAAATAAGACTTCAGGAATTTTGAACTGTTCATGCCCAAATCTCTAAAATAATTTAAAATTTACATTAGTTCATTTTCATAATAAATATTCTTGTACATAATTTAAATTATTAGTACATCGGTAAATAAAAATCATATTCTATACATATTTGTTATTATAATATAACAATTGAATACATAGTTCATTAGTATAAATAAATATAATATATGGGTGGTATAAATGATATAATATTTCAAAAATAATACTGAATAAAAATAAATAAAAAATAAATTTCATCAGTTACTTTAATTCGTTGTCCCTTACTTCCACTATTTTGAAGCACATAATAATATACATTATTTGATTAATTAATAGTTACATATTATTAAATTATTGTTAATTTATTAAAAAATATACTTTACATCAAATTCGATTAATTTAATATTGTTATTAATTAATAATAATTAATTTCAAGTAATATAAAACTAATTTTTTAGAGCATATTAAGTTCAAAATATCGACACAAAATACATTGTCTGTCTAGTTTCATACTATAAGTTTTATTGTACCTATTCTAACTTGTTTTTTAATATTTCATAACATAGCTTATGTTCAAAAGTCGGTAAACTGATTTAAGTGTAAATCAAATTCCCTATAAAGGCTTTTTTTAAATATTTATATTTTTTAATTGTTTTAAAAAAAGGAAGTTAATCATAAATTAATAAACTATATCTCTTATAATATGCAATTAATTGTTATTTTCAATAATATTCTTTCTTAATATTTTTTTTATCAGTTTTAATTCTTATTCAAAAAATCTTTGGCGTATTAATACGGTAAAAATCATATTTTAATTATATTATGTTCACTATTTGAGAACAATCTGGCTACAAAATAATAATTAAAATATTTTCACCATAATAAGCGTATAATAGAAACTTCAAAGTGTTCAATATTGCATTGTTATTCATTAAAAAAAAATTTAAAATATTATTCTAATGTGGAGCTATATTGTTATACCTATATTGACTCCACAAAGAAATTGTATTAATAATATAATGGAACATGTTTCTAAAAAAATGTATTCCAGAAAACACTTAAAATTTAAAAATTATTGAAATCACAATGTTTAAACAATTCATAATAACAAATAAATTTCTAATTCTAATATCAAACTCTGTTAATTAAATTATGTTGAATTCAAACACGAATGATTTTAAATAGGTACTTGTATTATTTTATATTATTACTTGACTGTAGCCAGTAGTAAACGTGTAATTAAGAGTTGGCATTAAAGAAGTTGCTACTTCAGTGTATGGACGATCATATACTTCTAATACTGAATGTTGAAATTCCTGAATAACTGATTTACACATATAATTGTGCCAAGAGTTAGTTACTTCTGGGATATTTTTTTTAACTGTCCATATTGGTTTTTGTTTTTGCTTAACCTTTAGTATTTGTCCAATCATATAACGTGGAATCACTTCAATTTTATTATCCTATACATAGAAAATTGAAATTAAAAAATGAAATGTTGAAAAGTTGATTTCATACTTTAAAATACTGTTTGCACTCCATGTTGATGAAATCTCCACCAACAGGAGACTTGCTAATGGCATCAGATACCACCGAACAACTGTTTACAGGTATGACTGAAGTATGTGTTGCCCCACAATCAATAACAAGAGCCGTAGAGCATTTGAGACCAATTGTAGCTAAAGAACCACTGTTACAAAGATAAATAGCAGGCAAATTATATTTTTCAAACATGAGCTCCACGAGTGTCTCTCTTTTGGGCTTGGTATTTAATACCCATTCAGTAAATAACACCGGGTAACAATGCGATTCAACGGCCAAACAATTCGAATAAGCGTAGTCCAACATTTGTTCGAACAGATCCCAATCATCTATCATACAGTCTTTTACACAATTTTTCACTTCCATGCCTGAATTGAAGAAAAAAAACAACAACATTAATTCGAATTGTAAAAGTGAAACAATACGTTTTTACTAGATTCAACGATTTACCCGGGCGGGGAACACTCAAAGACTTCTCGCCTATGTAGTATTTGATGTTCTTATTGATGCGATTATCATTTGGTTTGGCCGAATCGGAATTTGCAGCAGTACCTTTGATTGACACTCCCACCACGGACGGTATTTCTGCCATCGGATCCTTGTCTACGGCTCTGCCTACACGCAACGAGACCGATCCCAAGTCAAACACCAATACACCTTCTCCGCGGACTGACATAGTGGAGTTGCACGTGTTAAAATCTCCAACGTTTTCGGTAGAATAACTAATTGCCGATTGTTTAATTACAACTGTTACGATAATTGTTCTTTATTTTTGTTTTAATTAAAAAAGCTAGCGTTCAAACAAAATCAAAACCGAATCGTACGATCCCGGGCACCGCGTCGTTAATACGAGAAGTCGGAGTTCTGCGCTGTACAGCGTAGACAAACGTCGATACGGAGATGAAACTTGCGCATTAGGGGCGTTCGTGCTTGTGCGTGTGCGCACGACGCATGCGCATAGCACCGAAACACCCCGAACGTGCGTATCGGCAAAATCAATAAAATGTATATTCTGTAACATGTCAAACGAATGTAATATAAAATGTACTTTCAAACATTTCAAAATAACATGCATTTACATGGTTTTTAGTTCAATTTTTATGTATACATTAATATTAGTATATAATGTAGATACATAAAATGTATTTTTTAAATTAAAAAAATTATAAAAATTTTGATCGAATTTGAATTTTGATTTGGGTGTTGATTGATTTCGTAACTATTCTATTCAGTGGCGGGTCGTGAAGTTCATCGAACGTGGGACACAAATATTTCCCTCAATTTTTGATTTTACATGTGTACTAATTTTAGCGTTCAAATGAGCCAAATTATTTACCGTTCTGTGGCCAATTTTTATCACTAGAAGTACGACAAAAAAGTATACCTACTAGGACAAAAAAACAGACGGTTCGTTTTAGAACAATCACATAACCAATCATGTTTTAAATAAACATCTTTATTAAAACTTCTTTTAAATTCTCTAGACTTTGTTTTTTTTTTTAATTTGTATTATACTTAAATTTGGCATTGGCCTACCTTTTTTTTTTTTTATTTCAATTTTTTTCTCAAGAAGTAAACTTGAAAAGTTGATACTCAGTAAATGCTTGACCGTAACATATGTACCCATAATGAAAAATAATAAAAATATTTATTAAATTAGGTATTATAAATTTGCAAATATTAACTATATACAATAAACCATATACTAAATAGTAAATACTTATTTTATAAACGTACAAAAAAAGCACATGGACAAATGACAATACAAAACGTTTAATAAAATAAACAAAAAACATATAATGAATAAAAAATTGATAATTATTATCTGTTCTGTATCACAGAAGACGTTAAATATAAGATCGACGATAATATGAAGATCGACAAAATTTCATAAATCGTAATAAAAATAGAATCCGGACACAATCCGATGTAGTAAACCCAATACTCCGCATAATCTAATAATGTGATATATATTAGTATAGGTAAGTATATATTAACAAATATGTTGTATAAATGATTATATGAATATTATGTGATGCTTATATAAATGGTATATAAATAATGTGATATAAAATAGTATAAGTATTAAAAAAGGTGTTACGCATTCAGGGCAAATGTGAAAACAACAAGTAGTTTTCACCTCTTAACAAAATAATGCTAAATCGACAGTAAAATAAAGTAATAATATAATTATACCACTTTGACGTCATTGGAACTTAGATAAATATGGGTTGAGCATTTAGCATTATTCAGAAGTAGATAGGTAGTTTTGATAGACAGTGTTATATTGGCCATTTCCTAACCTATTACTCGTCGTATACTTTGTTACAGCCACATTGCCGCGAGTATATAATTCTTGACCAGAATAACTTATTCTTTATTTTTTTGTATTTAAACTGTTTTTTATTTTATTGTAGTACATTAACAACAACAGTAAGTTTTGTAAGTTTAACATACAATAGGTAATTCAATTACCTATCTCTCTCAACATTACGTCTCAAGATAACATCGAATGTGCTACGTCGTTAAATAATTTATGTAGTACCGATCGTAGTGTCCTGCACAACGATCACTACACCGATTACACTTTACGATTGACACTCTATTCATGAAATACACTTAAATTTCGTTACATTTAGTCTTTATTAATTTTTTAAAATATACATCAGTCATTTTTTTTTTTTTCTTAGTCTTAACAGCTATTCCTAACAACATTCCCTTCGCTAAATATAGTTCTATTGGATCTTAGGAACTACTCGGTAAAGGCGTATTTTATTTAAAAAAAAAAAAACTGTTTTTATAGGGGAACCTGAGGTATAACGAGACACCTAATATTTAACTTCTTGTAGTATGATGAATTTTTTAACGAAATTTTTGATTTATATATGAAAAAAAAGTTAAAGTTTTTAGATTTTTAAATGTTTTACATTAAACAATTGAAGCGTTGACATAGTAAAGGTACTATGTCAAAAAAACTAAATTTTTGGTTTTTTCGTTGAAAAAGTAATAAATACATATGCCAATGGCCTGGGAAAAGAACTAACTCAAATTTCTTTAAATATTAGTAATTACGTTGAACACAAGATGGCACTGGTCGTGAGTCATCGTGGTTTGAATTTGAAATGGTACTGTCATCTTACGTATTTATCGATTATAATATTGTTTTTATTGATACGAACACTGTTATCAAATATTGTCTAATATCATCAATCACAAATCAATTTAAAATTGATTAATTAATAATCATTAATCATTTTGACTTTAATGATTAATATATTTTATGTGCGTGGATTAAATTGATGTCTACATAAACTGTTCCATTCAAAATTGTAAGTTGTTTTTTATGTATTCTTGTTATGATTAATATATTAAAACTATTATATCTAAACCTTTGTACTTATGCTTACTTACATACTTATTTACACAACTTATTATATAGGCTGCTTGTAAATGGAAATACAATTGCCGTAGATTTACTGAGGTAGAGGTACGAACGTTTCACTCTGAATTTTGAAAGCAAACACCTGATAATCAAGATAATCTTCTTTATGGTCTAATAAACGTTACAGGTATTAAACAAAGGAGACCACGTAAAGAAGACAATGTTGTTTCGAGAAAAGGACCGATATCTGTCACATATTGTTTACCAAAGTCCAACGAGGGCCATGTTCAAGTATGCAACAAATCTTTTAGGGACTTTATGGGCTTATCGATTAGGCGGATTAAAACATTAATAGAAATAAAAGGGAGAGACGTGATATACAAAAATTTAAGAGGAAAAAATCCAAAATCTCATATTTATAAAACAAAATACACACTTAAGGATGTAGAACTAATTAAGGCTCACGTCAGTTCATTCCCAACTGAAGAGAGTCACTACTCTCGTCGTAAAACCAGCAAGTTATTCTTGAGTCCAGATCTAAATATTCATAGATTATATCACGCATTTAAAATAGCACACCCTGATACTAATACTGACCAATGTATTTATAGTAGAGTTTTTAAAAAATAATTTCCAAAGCTTTCATTCCATCGCTTTCGAGCTGACACTTACGCTACTTGCAACCGTCTTACAAATAAAATCAATTTTGAAGAAAGTATCAATAAATTCAAAAATATAGCAGAAAAATAATTGCACTTAAGAAAAGCTTAGAAGGTCACGCAACTTCTAAACGATGATAATACTAAATCCCAAATGCCCTCAAGTCAAACGTGTGCTGTAAGTATCGACATGCAACAAGTAATATTCACTCCATCACCCACTCATTCTAACATGTTTTATAGCCGTCAGCTGTCGAACTATAACTTATATTTTTACTTTGGGGATACGGAGAAAAGTATAATGTGTATGTGACATGAGGGTATAGCTGGTCGTGGTGGGAATGAGATTGCTTCACGCTTGCTTAATGCTATCACATCTGGTAAGACAACAAAGAAAAATTGCAAATTTGGTGCAATAACTGTGTTGGTCAAAATAAAAATTGTATGATACTTATGGTGTTAATATATGCTGTTACCAAAAAATATTTTGATACCATTGACCTTAAATTTTTAGTGTCTGGGCTTTCATATATGCTATGTGACCGATATTTCAGGATTATTGAAAAGAAGAAAAAAGTGTGCTCAACAAAGGTTGCTGAAGAAGTTGCAGCACTAGTCAGAGACGCTAAATATTTTTAACCATTTAATATAGTCATGATGACCTCAGATGATTTCTATGACTTTGCCAAAGAATCTGATAAATTTTTAAATACAGCACCTATTAAAATTAGCAATTTAAGTTGGATAAGAATTTCGCGGGATGACTTTCCTATGATAAAACTTGGAAAACATTCAATACACTTGAACCTTGGAAATTACACAATATATTCAAAAAAAGACACTCATTTAAGTCAGTCGAAAGGATCTAGGCCTTGAATGCATTAAAAAAGGAAACAGCCATAAGCGAACCAAAAAAAAAAGACCTTCTTGCAATGCTAGATTTTTTGGACGAAAAATACCATGCATTCCATCAAGATGTTTGTGAATAAAAAATAATAAATAAAGAATATTGGTACACATATTATTTATAAATATAAATTATTATATTTTTGTTTTTAATTAAAATTAAGTTGTCAGTATTAAAGTGAGAAATTTGTGTTAAAAAAAGTTTACAATATGCTAAAATCAGTTTTTTCCTTCTCCTGTAAAATTTGGTTTTTATAACTTAGTACCTTTTTCATGTCAATGCCTCAATTAGTATTGTGTTTTTGTATAAAAAAAAATTAAACCTAAAAAAGTGCCGTTTATCCCATTTTGCCCATACAATGGGGTAAAATGAGACACAAATTCTAACGCATTTTCAAATAAGTTAATATGCATACTTATTTCTAAATAATGTTAGGTACCAAATATCACACAAATATATAACAAAGTTAAATTTAACAATAAATATAATTTATTTCACAAAAATTAAATACTCTATACAATTTAACATTTAAATAGCAAAAAAAAAGAAAACCTATTTAGAAATTAAAAATAATACTTTCTCAGTCTTAACTGTTTCATTTTTAACTTTTCATAAATATTTATAATTTTAAACAATGTTCACATACGTATGTGGTGTTTTCTTCTTCGTCCTTTCCAGAACAAGACAAATGGGGCCATTTATCGCAACTCTGACAACATATCCAATCT